AGGGGAGAGATTAGGGATCCCAAAAGTCAATGCCGAAATAGTTTCTACGCCATGTATGAATCGTCCCAATGATAGTCCAATGATAGTTGTCACATGACCGTAACTTGCCGTAACTATAGTAATATTTTAAAGTTACAGCATTATAGCCGTAACTTTATTATATTACTTACTATAGTTACGGCAAGTTACAGCCATGTGACAACTATCATTGGACTATCATTGGGACGATTCTACTGCATCACTACTACGGATCCATATTTTTTTGGCCGGCAGCTCGGGATTTTCTTGACCCTTCAAATATAATTTTAAATTATGACACTGAATAAACATTTTGTTTCATCATTTTATACCAGGAATGTTATGTAATACTAGAAATCGGGAACCGATGTAAGTCCGGAGCATAAATATCTAAATTAATTACTCTAAGGTGTATAAATAAGTTACCCGGGCAATTGATTTAAATTAGCCAATCATACAATTTCTTACCATGAGTTTGTATTACCATATTTACTAGTTTGTTGTCAAAATACATGCGGCAGACAACAAATTTCCAAATTACAATATTGACATATTTGTTTACTGTAAATATAAAAAAGAACTAGCATTCTTTGGTAAAATATTGTTATCTAATAACTTACAAGAATAAATAGCTTTTGCAATATTTTTAGCTAATAATGATGATGATGAAATTGTTAAAGAGTTTGAAGAGTCTTAATTAGAAGTTGAGTATGATTAAGTATTATTGAACATTTTGAAGCGCAAAATAACGCCAACTTGCACATTAATTAATTAATTGACCTGCGCGTACGCCCACATACATACGTACGTATAGTTTTTCTTATGCATAATTTCTCAAAATAAGATTCTCATAAATTCATTTTCAACAATTTCATGAGAAGATTGTCTCAAGCAGATTTTGTCTTCCAAAATAAGTTTTTTTTTCTTTATTCGAAAGTATTGAATTAACGATGTCGACAGATAATAATTCAAAAGATAATATCACAGAAAATAACAGAGACGAGCAAAAATTAGAGAATGAATGTGAGTAGTTTAATTATATCTTGAAATCTTAGCTTTCAATTTAATAACATTAATTTCAATGAATTAGCATTCGAATATTTAAGAAAATTAGAAGAATATTTAAATGAACTAAAGATAACAAAGTTTGATTATTCCCAATTCAATTTTGATGATCTTAAAATAATTGGGCATGGAGGATTTGCAGTTGTTTATTCTGCTGAACTTCAAGGTGTAAACTACGCAGTAAAGAGATTAAAAAATATCATCTATATAGATGATGAAACTTTCAAACGAATCAGACGTGAGGTATGTACGATTTACATTTGTAATATGATATGCAGCATTGCAGATTAGAGCAAGTTATACATAACGATAACTAATTTAGAATTAGCAAACCAACAAAAAATTGTACCACTCATAGTTTTGACCAATCGAATTCCAAGGTTAGGAGTAGTGATGTAAATTTCCCAAATCACTATGTTCCTACCGGTATTTGGTAGCTACCGGTAGTAGTAGTATACAGTAGCAGGTTTTCATTCTGATTGGCTAATTCTTCTATCTATTTATAAACTCTACCTACCATCTACCACTTTATATCATTAATCTCATGGTAGCTACCGGTAGCTACCAACTAACACCACTAGTTAGGAGTAAAGATGCTGGTGAAATTAATCTACTATTGATGAAATTGGTGTTAAATTGGAAACTTGGTAAAATTAATTTCACCAGCATTTCTAGTTAGGATTAACGTAAAAATAGAAAAAATAACTCAAAACTTTAATTAACCGAAAATAATTTGATGATATCATATTTCGATTTAATTAAAATGTTTCTATGAAATTTTTTAACAGATACTAATTTTTTCTAATCCTAACTTTAACATGGACTTATAAAAAAATATTTTGGCCATCATGTAATAGCTAATTTAAAATTTTGATTGGTCAAAAATCAAAATGGAACAATTTTGGCGGAGCAGCCTAGTTATAATCAAAATTATATTTGGTTCTATGTTTAATCTCTCCAAAAGTTAATGAATTATACCTGTTGCATATTGGTATAGATTAAGTACCACTGTATGGTTGATCACCCTAATATTATTAAATTTTATGGATTTTCAAAAGGTATGTACACAATATATATCTAAAAATTAATTTAATAGAAAATTTTTCATCGTCAATGCCGATCAATTTTGTTGATAGAATTCTATGCATCCGACTAGTGATGAATTATGTACACATATCGATTTTTTTTTAGATATTAATATTGTTTTAACAAATTTGTACGCATATACATGCGTATGTATGTTGAATAAAATTAGGCGTTCAAATGGGTGATTTCATATTTATATTACAATATGCTAATGGTGGAAACCTACGGGATCATTTACAAAAAAAACAAAAACATAATTATTACAAAATCTCATGGACTGAACTTATCAAAATCGCAACAGAAATAACTCTTGGATTAGAATATTTACATAATAATGACATTATTCATCGTGATCTGGTAAGTTTTAAATTTTTAATTTATAATTATAATATTGACGCCTATAATTTATGAATTCATACAATCAAAAAATATTATTAATATTTTTGATATACTGTATATACTTAAAAAACTATTCTTATAAATATCCGACGATTATTATTAGTTAATAGTAACTCTAAACTATCTCTTAAAATCCTTCTAGCATTCTAAAAATATCTTGATAAATGATGGTAAAGCCGTAATTACAGACTTTGGGATATCAAAACTATTAAATGGATCAGCCACTTCAAGTTCTGCAATTATTGGAATGATAGCATATATTGACCCGCAGTGCCTCAGAAATGAAAAAAAGCAAAA